GTTTTACCTGCATGACCACAGAGAGGACATAAAGAAGTGGGATGGAAAACTCACCTCTGCCCTAGTAGCATGGGTATGTGATTTGAGAGGAAGAACAACCACCACAGGAAATTCTTCAAGGATAAATGCTGCTCCATTTTCCAGTGGGCAAGTTCTCAGACAGAATAGAAGAGCTGATGTCACTTCCCATAGTCTTGAAGGAACCTACAGGTCATATTTACAAGAACTGACCAGGACTAGAGGGGTAATAACAGAATCACAGAATCACAAGTTTGGAAGAGACCTTCAAGGTCATCAAGTCCAACCAATTCCCTGACACCTCAACTAAACCATGGCACCGAGTGCCACATCCAATCTTTTTTTAAACACATCCAGGGATGGTGACTCCACCACCTCTCCAGGCAGACCATTCCAGTACTTTATCACCCTTTGTGTGAAAAACTTTTTCCTAATATCTAACCTATATTTTCCTGGACACAGCTTGAGACTGTAACCTCTCGTTCTGTCAGTTGCTGCCTGGTGAAAGAGACCAATCCCCACCTGACTACAACCACCCTTCAGGAAGTTGTAGGGAGTGATAAGGTCGCCTCTGAGTCTCCGTTTCTCCAGGCTAAAGAACCCCAGCTCCCTCAGCCGTTCCTCATAGGGCTTGTGTTCCAAGCCCTTCACCAACTTTGTTTCCCTCTGGACACACTCAATCATCTCAACGTCCTTCCTAAACTGAGGGGCCCAGAACTGGACACAGTACTCAAGGTGCAGCCTCACCAGTACCAAGTAGAGGGGGGAAATTGCCTCCCTGCTCCTGCTGGCCACACCATTCCTGATACAGGCCAAGATGCTGTTGGCCTTCTTGACCACCAGGGCACACTGCTGGCTCATGTTCAGCCAGCTGTCAACCAGTACCCCCAGGTCCCTTTCTGCCTGGACACTGTCCAGCCACACTGTCCCCAGCCTATAATGCTGCAGGGGGTTATTGTGGCCAAAATGCAGGACTCGGCACTTGGACTTATTAAACTTCATCTTCTTAGACTCTGCCCATCTATCCAACCATTCTAGGTCTCTCTGCAGAGCCATCCTACTTTCCAACAGATCGACACACAGTCCCAGCTTAGTGTTGTCTGCAAATTTACTAATGAAGAACTCAATACTCTCATCCATGTCATCAATAAAAATATTGAACAGAACTGGCCCCAGCACAGACCTCTGAGGGACACCACTGGTGACTAGCCACCAGCTGGATGCAGCACTGCTCACCACCACTCTCTGGGCCCAGCCATCCAGCCAGTTTCTAACCTAGCAGAGTGCTCCTGTCCAAGCCATGGGCTGCTAGCTTTTCCAACAGTATACTGCAGGAGACAGTGTCAAAATGCTCCCAGCCAGGTGGAGGAAAGGGACAGTAAGATCTATTGGACTATAGGGATCCCATGGCCTGTCACATCAGACTCACAAGAGTACAAGGCTTTAGTTAACACTGGCGCACAATGTATCTTGATGCCATCAAGATATGTAGGGGCAGAATCCATCTTTTTCTGGGGTGACAGGGGGATCCCAACAGCTGACTGTACTGTAAGCTGAAGTTATCCTGATGTCCTGGTTTAGGGCAAATTTGGGAGAAAACCTCCAAAGGGGTTCCTCTAGAAAGCAGATTTAAGCAGCCCCTCCCCCAACTGGTTTGGGAAAAATATTCCTTGGAGAAAAGTGGAAAAACCTGTTTATTTAGCAGGTAAAGCATTCACCAGCACAAAAAAAAAAAATTGAACAATATTAAACAATAAAACCTCTTGTCAATCTGAAGAGATGACAAACTCAGAAAGTGTTTTTTGTGAATTGCAGCTTGGCTCACCCAATCTGTTATCAGTCCCTCTGGCACTGGAAATGCCATGGCCCAGGCCCGGCCCAGTGGACCACAGGTGTGAGCTCCCGGTGCTCTTCTGGGTTTTCAGTCCAGAGCAGGTTTAAACAGTTCCAAGAAAAAGAAAAAACACAGTCCAGGGAACTTCTCTGCCTCAGCTAGCTAAAAAATAACTAAAAGCAAAGGAAAGCTCTCTCCTGCCATCTGTCCATGCTGCAGACAACACAGTCCAGGAGAAGGATGTGAGGGAGCAAGTGCAGTTTCTGAAAACAAAGTGCGTGCTTCTTCTCTCCTCCCCTTTGCTCTCGGAACCAGTTTTAAAGGTGCAAAACTTAATATCCAGCATAAACAGAACAGACGATTGGGGATGCAAGCATCATAAAGTCACTCCAGGACATCTGACTAGAAAAGAATGGTGGAAACACCCCATTGTGACTGGCCCAGAGGCCCTGTGCATCCTTGGCATAGATTACCTCAGGAGAGGGTATTTCAAGGACCCAAACAGGCATTGTTGAGCTTTTGGGATAGTTGCTGTGGAGACAGAGGGAATTAGACAGGTGAATACCTTGTCCGGTCTCTCAGAGGACCCTTCTACTATGGGACTCCTTCAGGGCAAAGAACAATGGGTACCAATTGCTACCACTACAGTGCACTGTCAACAACACTGCACCAACCGGGACTCCGGGACTCCCATCCACAGATGATTTATGGAGAGCCAGGGAGTGGTCAGCAAGACTTGCTCACCCTTCAATATCCCCATATGTCCAGTGCCTAAGTCCAATGGAGAGTGGAGAATGATAGTGGACTATCATGACCTGAACGAAGTCACACCACCACTGAGTGCTGCCATGCCAGACATGCTGGAGCTTCAATATGAACTGGAGTCCAAGGCAGCAAAATGGTGCTACCATCAACATTGCTAATGCATTTTTCTCCATTCCTTTAGCAGCAGAGTGCAGGCCACAGTTTACTTTCACCTGGAGGGGTGTCCAGTATACCTGGAGCCAACTGCCCTAGGGGTGGAAATATAGCCCTGCTATTTGCCATGGACTGATCCAGACTGGATTGCAAAAGGGTGAGACTCCAGAACACACAGTACATCGATGACATCATGCTATAGGGCAACACAGCAGAGGAGGTTTTTGAGAAGGGGGAGAAGATAATCCAAATCCTCCTGAAAGCTGATTTTGCCATAAAACAAAGGGAGCCCTAAATTGGGGAATACTGTTCCTAAACCATGACAGTCACACCCTGTTTGCCTGCCCTATTTGCCCCACTCCTTGTTGCTTCTTGGGTGCGTCTTCTGTACCTGTGGGAGTTGGTCACCTTCACTCCTGGCGCTGCCCACACTGAGAGCTGCTGCTTGTCTAACTTTTCACACTTCCTGCTCTGGTTGAGGCTGGTGTGCCCTCTGCCTCTCTGAGCTAGGTTCACAGTTTTGCTGGTTTTTGGAAAGCTCTTTTAGCATGATCCTCTACTCCAGAGGATGTCTGCCGGAGCAGTTCACCTCGGAGACGTGATGATGCATCACATGCATGAGAGACAGGGCATGGAGGTCTTGGTCAGTTCGTCATTCGAGATCTTTTTCTGTTTGCTCAGGAAGAGGAGTCTTTTCTCTGCTATGCTGTGGAGTCCCTCCCACACGCAGTTTTTCCAAAACTGTTGTGGCATGGGTCACTCGTTTGTAGGCTGCAGTCTTTTAAGGCTAGGCTGCTCTATTTTTTGAGCAAGGGCCCTCTCTCTCTATTCAGGTCTCCCACTAGATTACAGCTTTCTCTGGCATTCACCCACTCCAGCATGAACACTTTTCTTATGGGCTGCAATGTAGCAGCCTGAACTGCTACAAATAAAGTCCAGGGTAAAGAAGCAGAAAGGGCCTTTGCATAGTATCCACAAGTGTTTAATTCAGCTGCGCGGTGAGATGTTCAGAGTTCCCTCAGCACACAAGTCTCAGCTTTCCCTGCTCTCTCCGCAGGGGTCCAGGGGGTGAACCTGGTCTCAGGACAGTACAAAGATGAGGGCCAATCAGGGAATAGGGAGGGAGTGGCTCAGGGATGTAGGAACAGACATAGGAACAGGGAAAGGAGCAAATGGGGTTTAACAGCTTTTTTGAGGGAAGGTTCTTGTGTCTCCCTAAACCAGGGAAATGCCCCTCAGGATCCTCACACTGCGAGTGAATGTCTGCATCCCCCATAGACTTCATGCATTACAGGAGGACAGTTTGTTTCACCATAGTCCTCACTATGGCTTGCAGAGGAATCTCGGCTCCAACACTTGGAGTACCTCCTCCTACTCTTTTTTTTCCACTGACCTTGGTTCCATCATGTTGTTTTCCCTCACATGTCCTCACTTCCTCCTCTGACTAGAAGAAAAACTGCTGCTTGAAGGTACCATTTCAAACAAGTTCCACTAATTCAAAGATTCTTGCAGGATCCCGCAGTGCCAAGAAGTTGATTTTATCCAGGTTCTGCATTGGGGAGTTGCCCGCCACATTTTCAGTCGGCCATCCAGCCCTGCCATCATCATGCACGCTGTGGCGGCTGCCACGGCACTTGCGCTATTTAACACCTCTCTTCATGCAGGGCGCTGGGAAGGAGAAGTCGCCACCATCGCCCCTGCGCTTCTGCCTGCAGTGCAGTTGCCTAGGGGCAGCCAGGCAGGCAAAGATTGTCGTGGTCTGCGCTGAGATGGCGGCAGCTGCAGCAGTGGCCACGGTGCCTCCCCACCCCTGGGAAAAAACTGCATGTGCGCTGTTTTGATTTTCTTCTTAAATGCATCATTACAGAAGCGTTACCAACCTCTCTAATTGGGCCAGCAGCATGTCTATCTTCAGAGCCATCAGAGATTGGCTCTGTTGGACATGGTGGGAACTTCTAGCAGCTTCTCACAGAAGTGACTCCTGTGGACCCCCCCCCCCCGGCCCCCACTACCAAAAAAAAAAATCAGGCTATGCCAAATCAACACAGTACTCCACTTAGCTTATTACAGATTTGTAGCACAACATTGCATTCTGTGTCATTTAGTAATTGTAAGAACAGGGATGTCCCAAAATTAAGAGTATTGTTTAGAAACCATTAGATGCACTGAAGCACTAGTCATTCTTTTTATAAGGTAAACTATCCTATATTTCTGGTGTTCTTGTTTGTAGGTACAGCAAGTACAGACTGTGCAACAGGTGCAACATGTCTACCCAGCCCAGGTTCAGTATGTGGAGGGAAGTGACACAGTCTACACAAATGGAACAATGTAAGTTGGTTATTCATCTAAACTAGAATGTTTACTAAAATAATGCACTTTTCATTACATCATATGGACTGCTATGTTTTAATTAGCAAAGAAAAATGTTTGAACAAAAACTTTAATTTTTGTCATATGAAATCATTATTTGAGTGAAAACAAGTAAGATTCATATCACTTGAATTAATCTAAAATGAATTCAGGTAATTGTTACAGTTGGACAGTGTGAATCTGCATATGCATCATTTTGTTGTTTGGGGAAAAAACGAGTTTATGGACAAGTTTTAAGTTATGCTGATAGGAAGTATGATCTAAATTTGTCATAATATGATCATCTGTATAATAAAGTAGTCTCCATGTGGGCTGCTATTCTTCTAGTTGAAATTATACTGGGAAGTTCTTAAATTGCTGAGGCAATTGTAGTCATTACTTACAGAAAACAATTATATAATTTCTTTATTTTTTTAAGTGCAATGATATACATATTTATTATTTTTCCAAAGGAAGGTAGAGGAAGGACAATATGTTTTTTTGCTTCTCTCTCAGACTCTTCTATTTCCTGTGCTTTTCTTGCTTCAATGAATATGGTTTTCTACCATCAAATTCCTTTCTCCTATGTTCAAACTTAAAATCATAGAATAATTTAGGTCAAAAGAGACCTCTAGAGGTTATATGGTAAAACCCACACAAACACAGTCAGAATAGGACTAACTTCAAAGTTTCTCAGGGAGAACCTTCCCTCCCTCTTTTTCCAGTTAAGTCTAAATATATCCCATGAAACTTCTGATATAAGGTTAAGGAAAAAGAAAAAGGCCTGTAGAAGACTTTTTTGATGCCAGCAAGTATCTATTGATGATAATCTGGCATTGACACAAAAAAAGTCAACAACACTATTGGGTTCTGATACTGATGTTAACACTTGCAGCATCCTCTTCATGGACATATTTTGCCAAATTTATTCTTCAGATAAACTTTTTCATCAGTCTCTTGTTCCCTTATTTTCTTTGCTCTTATAATATCTAAGCAATCTTCTGTCCTAAATGGGTCTGTTAAGACATGCTTATTATTAAGAATGACCAATGTGTCCCTGTTTAAGACACTGTAAAAATGGAAAGTCGCTCATCACATTGTTAAACTGTAATCAAAGACTGAAAATATCTGTGTAGAATGTCTGATCAGGCTAACTTTTATTTGAAAAATGCCAGCCAAAGACACTGAACTGTTGAGACAAAAGAAAACATTTTTTTTCATCCACATTTGTTTTTCTTTTAAAAGCTCTAGTGCTTCTTCTCTTTAAATTATGGGCAGTGATATTGGAATAGTATAGTTTATTGCAGTTCATGACATTTTACCTGACTTTATAGCTCAAATATATTAACCAGAGGATTGTTTGTTTTATCCTGTTTATATGTTAATTGCTTCAAAGACCGATGGATGTTCTCCAGATGACCCTAAATGGGGTATTTCCTTGCACCTGCTGCTTTTGCTATTAATTATATGAACTCTGGTTTCTAGTACCTAATCTATTAACAAAGGGTCTATTCCATTCCATATACAGGGCCTAGGATATATGGTTGAAGGAAGGTATCCTATTAAAACAGAGAAAGGAGCAAGTACTAAACCTATGGTGGGAATGGAAAATGTTCTATGACAAGTAACATAGATATTCTTTCATTCTCTTTTTTTGGTCATGTGCTAGCCTGATTTTAATACAACCCTCAAGACCTCCCAAGAGATCATTTGCTCATGAAAACAGCAACTAGGCCCAGTCAGTGAGAAAGAAATGAAAACATGAGTTGTCTGATTCATAATAGTGAAACTGTGATCGAGTGAGCAGGAAAGGGTTCTGGTCTTAGATAAAGAGATGGTGGAAGCCAAGAACCAGTGGGTGGAAAGAAGGAAGTCTGGTAGCAGACATAGAAATCTAACAAAATGTCAAAATGCATGGTTGTCTGGGAAAAAGAACTTTAAAAAACAAAACAAAAATAAAAATAAAAATACTGACTGGATAAACAGCCCAGAAAAGTTGTCTCCATACAGGAGATGATGTCTATATAATTTTCCTGGTATAACTCCTTACGATTTCATTTGTAGATAGCACCTTAAATGACTATGGAAGGAGGAGCTGGCTGATGTGACATAGCTTGTAGTCCTATTTCATCCACCAGTAAGCTGTATTTTAGTATGGCTGATAATTTACCATAAAAAAATTTATGCCGTAAGGGACTTCCAGAGGTTATCTAGTCTGCTCAAAGCAAGTCTAATTAGATTAGGTTGCTCAGGGACCTGTCCCATAAAGTCATGTACAGCTCCAGGGATAGAGGTTGTGTACACCTCTAAGGATAGGGGAGTTTCCTGAGGACCGGAAGAAAGCAAATGACACCTCAATCTTCAAAAAGGGCAAGAGGGAGGATCTGGGGAAATACATGCTGGTCATCCTCACTTTATTCCTGTGAAGATGATGGAAAAAATAATCCTGGAAGCCATTTCCTGTCACACAATGGACACAGGGTGATTTGGAATAGTCACCATGGATTTACAAAAGGCAAATTATGCTTGACCAACCTGCAAGCCTTCTATGAGTCAACTAGCTTGGTGGATGAGGGGAGAGCAGCAGAAGGCTTTAAATGCTGTCTCATATAACATCATCATAGACAAGCTGACAAAGTGCAGGTTAGATAAGTGGACAGTGAGGTGGACTGAAAAATGGCTGAACTGCTGGGCTCAGACAGCTGTGATCAGAAGCCTAAAGTCTGGCTTGAGGTCAGCGTCTAGTGTTGTTTCCCTGGGCCGATCCTTGGGCCAATACTGTTTAACAACTTCATTAATGACCCAAACAATGTGATAGAGAGCACCCTCATCAAGTTTTCAGATGGTACAAAATTGGGAGGAGCGTTTGATAGACCAGATGGCTGTTGTGCCTTCAGAAGTATCTCAACAGAATGGAGAAATGGGCAGACAGGAACCTCATGAAGTCCATCAAAGGGAAATGCCAAGTCCTGCCCCTGGGTAGGAATAACATGATGCACCAGTACAAGGCATGGGCTGACTGGCTGGAAATCAGCTTTGCAGAGAAGGACACAGGGGTCCTGGTGGAAAATGAGCTGAATGTGAGCCAGTAATGTGCCCTTGCATCAAAGGAGGTCAATAGTATCCTGAGCTGCATTAGGAACATTGTTGACAGGAGGTTGAGGGAGATAAACCTTTCTCTCTACTCAGCACTGGAGAGACCACAACTGTAGTACTGTGTGCAGTTATGATCTCCTCAGTACAAGACGTGGAAATGCTGCAACAAGTTCAGCAAAGAGCCACTGCAGTGATGAAAGGATTTGAGCATCTCCTACAGGAACAGATGGTGAAAGAGCTGGAACAGAATCATAAAATCATAGGATCATTGAGATTGAAAAATACCTTTAAGATCATTCAGTCCAAGTATTAACCTAATACTGTGGTCTAGCACTAAACCATGTCCCTAAGTGCCTTGTCTTTATGCCTTGCCAAATGACTTCAGGGATGTTGATTCAGGATCACAGAATCACAGAATAGGTAAGGTTGGAAGACACCACAGTGGGTCATCTGGTCCAAACTCCCTGCTCAAGCAGGGTCAGTCCAGAGCACATGGCACAGGATTGTGTCCAGACAGTTCTTGAATATCTCCAGTGAGGAAGACTCTACAAGCTCTCCAGGTAATATTCTTGTGCTTGGTCACCCACACAGTAAAGAAGTTCTTCCTCATATTCAGGTGGAACTTCCTGTGCATCAGTTTCTTCCCATTGCCTTTGGTCCTATTGCTTGGCACAACTAAGACCCTGGCTTCATCTTCTTGGCACCCTCCTTTCATATACTTATAGACATTGATGAGTTCCTGTCGTGGTTTGACACGGAAGAGAATTTTCTCAGGAAGTTGGTAGTCAAACCAATCAGTGTCATGTTTAGTTATTGATACATAGAGTGACTACTGGAAGTTAGACATGCCTTTGAGAACATAGGGGGTTAAAAGTAAGAACTCTTAGGAGAACTGTTTCTTTGGTTCTGGTTGTCAGAGAGTGTAGACCTCCCTTGCCCAGCCACAGGCTGGGTGGAGAAGGGGAAGCCATGTGGCCTGTAGAGGTAGGTTAAGGTGTGAAGGGTCTAGAACTGAGCCAGCTCTTGCGGACAGAAGGGTGGAGGAAGTATGAGATGTCTTTGTTCCTCCCCTTCCCTCTTTTAACTTATAGAGAAAGAAACAGAGAGTGTGAAGACACTTAGAAGCTTACTGAGAGAGGAGAAAGAGAAGGAGGGGGGAAGGTGTCTAGCATAGGAGATAAAGTCCTGAGCTGAGATTTCAGCTGTCTGGGTTGTCTGGGACTTTTAATCCTTTCCTGGGGAATGAAGGCTTTGTGAAATATTACTCCTCCTCAATTTAAAAGAAAAGAGAGACAACCTGGGACCTGAAATGTTAACAAAAAAAAAAAAAAAAAAAAAAAAAAGTTGGGGGGGAGATGATGGAGTGTCTTTTAGCTAGACTTTTCTTGTTAACCATAGACTAAACTAATTTCTCTTGCAAGAGAGACTGCATTTTTAGGGGTATGCAATGGTGAGCCAAGAGACCTGCTTCAGCAACTACCAGTACAAGAATAAAGTGAACAGAGAAAGCTGAGGAGGGTGTGATGATGCCCTCTGTCATCAGAGAAGAAGATCTCTGTTTTCACTCTTGGCCCCAGGGGAAGAGGAAAATGGGGGGGACTGTGGTCCCAAAATGAGACACTGGACTGTTGTTCCTGTTGGTCCTTGTCAAAGCATCCTTAAAGGAGCCCTATGAGCAGTCTGTCCATGCACAGGAGTGAGAGCACTGTAACATGGAAAAGAGAGTGTCACACTGGCAGATTTTCTCCAGGTAATGCCATGTGTGACATGGAAACACAAGAGGTAGCAATTGTGTTTCCTGGGGGTCTATGGTGCAAGAGAGACTCCTCTCTCCCTTAACAGACTGAGTATTGATTATTTTAAAAGGTAATAACTTAATTGAG